ACAGAAAAATCGGACAAGATGCAATATGGCTTTTTATCAAGCAGAGGCTTGGCTGCTTCAAATGGAACCCATCTAAGAACAAAATACAAGAAAAGCATTTGGACTCTCTACAAAGAGAGAATAAGTAACAAGAAATTGGTCTTAGTTTTGTGGATTTGGGAACTTACTGGTAACGCAGAGGACAGAGAAGCTCGGAAGGACGATAGGCTGCTTTATATCTCATCTTGTTGCAGGAATGTATGTAATAACCAAGATAGTAATACGCAAGAGTAGAGCACTGAGCTTCATTTTGTTGTACCCAACTGATTTCCTGCAAGGCTGAGTAGTTTCCAAGGGACAAAGATGCGAAATCCGGATCCCAGAATAGGTACTTACTCGACAAACATTTAGGAAGAATGTCTATTACTCCGACAGCAATTAGCCGGCCATCGACTAGGTACTGTTGATGGAATGAACCGAAGCCACAAGAAGGAAACTTTCCTTCGTATGAACCTGAAGGCAGAACTTCTATCAACGGAGTGTCAACTAAAAACCTTTTGTATGAAGTTTCTGAGATGGTCTTCGGCTTATCGTTATGCACTCTCAGTTGATATCGTTTGTATAATTCATATTCCTCTGGATCAAAACTCGACCTTTTCAAATGTATCTCCAGCTTCCGCTTTCTTACCTGAAGGTTGTGCGAAAAAGACTTTGTCGTTGTAGCACAGTGGCTTTCACTTTCATCTCTATCCGAGCAAGTATCTTGGTTAGCTGAAAGGAAGTTGATATGGCCTTTGCAGACCTTAATAGACAAGCCATGGAATCGTCCCACCTTATTCATTTCACTAAACAACTTCTCAGAAACAGTCTCTGGCGATAATCTGTTCTCTTCTGCGTTGTTGTTCCTCTCGCGTTTCTCAAATGTCTGTGTTCGTTTTATAGCAGCTACTATTGGAAACGCAATGTTGCAGGTGTATAAGAGTTCTTCTGACCCTTCAGCTAGTTTCTTCCTTTTAGCAGAGAGAACTTTCTTTACTGAGGCTTTAGGCATCTGAATATTAGAAGGGAACTCCCCACTTTGTATGCATCTTTGTACTGCATTGTCGATTTTTTCACACAAATCTTTCATGATTGGTTCTCATTCTTTTGTTCTCTTTTCACAATTCCAGGTACTTTTCTCACAAACTCTAAAACTTCGCCCGGGAAAGAAACGTCTGGATCTTTTGTCTGCTCCCTCGGTGTCACATCTAGTTCCCCGTGCAACGGTGCAAGAACCTTTGTAAACAAGATTACGGAAACAGTTAAAAGAGAAGGGGAATTTTCCATTCGTTTGAATTATAAGAACAAATTGGTTGAGAGAGTAAGCGTATATTTTAAACGAGATGAAAGGTTTTGTGACATAACTGAAAGTAAATGATCTTGGTAAAACTTTCATCTATAGATCCGAAGAAAGAAACAGTGAGAATAGTGCATCTATAATACATACCTTTCTAGTTTTCTACGCACTCGTTGTTGTTCCTTAGAAGGAACGAAATCACTCGCTTTCAAGCGGATTGTATAAGAAGGACAACATGTTTTATCCATCTCAGGTTTGTAAATGAAGCAGCCAGATCGTCTCCATCCACGGTCAAGAAGAGCTACTCAATTAGAAAAATAAAGACACACCACCAACAATGATCACTAAGCTCGACTAAGAAAACACGAAATCAAAAATGGTGAATCAAGGAAAAAACTTCAGAAGCTAAATCATCACAACATTGCAACCAACCTTGGTAGTCATTAACGGTGAGACTCTCTGTCCATAAACCTGAAATGGAAATGAGACACAGTCACTGATCATGGGCATTTATAATCTTACGAGATCACAGCAAAAGATTATCCATTTACGCAAAATCTGTAGTTAAACATACGATCTGATCATCATCGTTAAGTATCAATGAAGCTCAATTTAGATATAGGGGATTTCAAATTCACATGAATCGAATTTTCAGATCAATTTAAAGACCATCTCTATCGAAGAGAAAATGGGAAGTAAAAATAAACATAATTCAATGGCGAGGCAACGAACCGTGAGAGATACTGGAGGCCGAAGGGGATTTACAGTAACCGCAAGTGGATATGTTTCGTCCACAATCAGCCACTATACTCTCTCCGACGACGCTACAACGGCTGCTACTTGCTTCGTTTCTCGTCTTCGCTTTCTTCGACGACATGATCGGAGATAATCCGATATTAAATTCAAGTCACGGTGGCTCTTCGAACTTTTCCCGGTGAAGAAGAAGATGTCGAAGATAGAAAACTCGTGGTTTCTCTAGAAAAGAAATCAACGCCGTGTGGTTTTGCCAACGTGAAACGACACGAAGTTCTCTAAATGTAGTTTTTGTGAGAAAAGAGTAACATCCTGTAGTTCTTACAGATATAAAGCAACAGACAGTCCTCTTCTTGATATTTCAAACGCCACGCATGTTTTCTTACTTTGGGCCCAACATTTTAGGAAAAGCCCAATTTCAGTGAAGTAAACAACAGCCGTCAGATCAGCACGAACTAAGCAAGCAAACGCGAACCGTTAGATTCAGATCACCACAAAAACCCTAGCTTCCTTGTTCCTCTGGTCAATCCGTCGAACACTCTCTCTCTCTCTGTGGACATTTGAGCAAAATCCAGTGAGCGACAATGGTGAAGGCAACGAAGGCGGAGAAGAAGATCGCGTACGACGCGAAGCTATGCCAGCTCGTCGATGAATACACTCAGATCTTAGTCGTTGCGGCGGACAATGTCGGATCGACTCAGCTCCAGAGCATCAGGAAAGGTCTTCGTGGAGACTCGGTGGTGCTCATGGGTAAGAACACTATGATGAAACGTTCCGTTAGGATCCACTCCGAGAACACCGGAAACACTGGAATCCTCAATCTGCTTCCCCTGCTTCAGGTTGATTCTTCGAAAATGTTCGGTGTTTTTGGCTTGTTGAGAGTTTCGATTATAATTTTGATGATTTCTGCGTTTTGGTTTAGGGAAACGTTGGTTTGATCTTCACGAAAGGTGACCTTAAGGAAGTGAGCGAGGAGGTTGCCAAATACAAGGTTGGTTCATTGCTCTTGTTCTAATACCTCAAATCTTATAACGAAATGATAGATTATAGCTTTTGATGTGGTTACGGTATAGCCAAAGGACTTCGTTTTGCTTATATTCGAACTCGTAACACTGTTTTTAATAGCTTGCGTAGCTAAGATTGTTACAGTGTTTTGCATCAACTTCATTAGTGGACTGTGTATATATTTTTGCTGGTTTCTCAGTGTGATTGGTTTGAAATGGATGTTTCTCTAATTTGAATAGGTTGGTGCTCCTGCTCGTGTGGGTTTAGTTGCCCCAATTGATGTGGTTGTTCAACCTGGCAACACTGGTCTCGACCCATCCCAGACATCTTTCTTCCAGGTTTGCTCATCCTTATCATGCCATTATAATCCACAACTTGTTTTACTCATACTTTTGGGTTAGTGACCGATCTAAAGCTCCGGAGACATGAATTCTTTTTAGGTGCTTAACATTCCAACTAAGATTAACAAGGGTACTGTCGAAATTATCACCCCAGTCGAGCTCATCAAGCAAGGTGATAAGGTCGGGTCTTCTGAGGCTGCCCTTCTAGCCAAGCTCGGAATCAGGCCTTTCTCATATGGTCTTGTTGTTCAGTCGGTTTATGACAATGGCTCGGTCTTCAACCCAGAGGTTCTTAATCTTACAGAAGATGACCTTGTGGAGAAGTTTGCTGCTGGTATCTCTATGGTCACTTCCTTGGCTCTAGCTATCTCTTATCCTACACTTGCTGCTGCGCCGCATATGTTCATCAATGCCTACAAGAATGCCTTAGCTATTTCTGTTGCTACTGAGTATACTTTCCCACAAGCAGAGAAGGTCAAGGAATTCTTGAAGGTTAGTTAGTTGTGTAACATTTTAATGTGATTTTGAAGCTTTGGGGTATATTTGTTCTTGTTACTGTTTAACTCTTGGGCATTTTTTGGAGTGTAGGATCCGAGCAAGT